TCCAAAAATGTTGTTGCAATTTGATTAAAAATTGGTAGCGGGTTAACCTATTTGTCGGCATCTCTGTCATATCTATCTGTTGCACTGCATTTAACGGTTCTCCGATTAAAAAATGCCCCGGGGTCAACGCTGTAAGATCTGAAGGATCGCTCAACATAGGCACCAACGGCCTTGAATTCAAACACGCTTCCACTTCCGTAAGAAAAGTGTAAAATTCCTCAAAGATAAGAAACGCCTCTCCCAGGACTTTCTTCAATCGTGTTTTTGCTGATTTTATGCCTGCCTCCCATAATCCCCCCATATGTGGAGTGTATGGAGGCAAAAAATGCCACTGAATCGATTGCTCACGTGTAAACTCGTTAACTTGACGTTGATAATCTTGATTTTGTAATAATTTCTGCAACTCTTGTAGTTCGCGGTTTGCTCCTACAAAGTTTGTACCATTGTCTGAATAAATATTTGAACATTTTCCTCTTCTCGCAATAAAACGTCGTAGTGAATTCAAAAACGCCGCAGTACTCAAATCGCTGACTAATTCCAAATGAAGGGAGCGCGTCGAAAAACATACAAATAAACACAAATATGCCTTGGCGGTTTTATTTCGCGAAATTTTAATATTAAATGGCCTGCCATAATTGACATCGACATTTAAAAATGCTCTACTCAGGGTCACTCTATCTCGCGGTAGATTTCCCATTATTTCTTGCGGGCTTTTACAATTAAACCTAAAGCAAGTTATACATTTCCGCAAAACCTTCCGAACGACCGATTTATCCGACACGATCCAATATCTCTCTCGAATTATACCTAAAAGCGCTTCGGGACCTGCGTGCAGAGCTTTCAAATGTGAATCTCTAATTATTAATTCTGTTAAATGATCATAAGTTTCGAGAATCACCAGAGATTTTCGTGAATATGATATCGGGGCGTTTCTCAAACGTCCTCCCACCCGCAACAACCCTTCTTCATCTATGAATGGGTTAAGTAGCAGCAATCGACTTTTCTTCGAGGTCGGACTCCCAGACTGCATTGCTTTTATTTCTCTCGTAAAATGTTTTTTCTGATAATGCCTTACTATAATCTTCATTGCCTCTTCTAATTCTCTCACCGTGATTTCTCCGGACCGTTGACTAGTAGATTTTTTGCAATTGTGTGTAAATCGCCGGCAGTACGCAATAACCGTTTTTAATTGTTTTAATGACGAGTATCGGTATCAGATGTCCCATCCCATCTCCACTTCGACGCTCAACGACATCAGTCTTTTTTCTGTCTTGGTTCTGATAAAGATTTCAAATCTCTCGGATATTCGATCTCTTCCTGTAACCATGCTGGGCCCTCCCACCATAGCTCTCGGTTATTTATCTTCTCAGGTCCCACTCCTCTAGACAGCATATCGGCAGGATTTAGTTCCGATCTAACATGATGCCATTGC